CGGCGCCATCGGGACGGGAGGGGGTGGGGGGCGCACTTGGGAGACAGAAGGGACCGAGGAGGTGGAAAGGGGGTTCCGGCCTCGAGGACACGCCACCCCTGCCCCGGGGCTCAGCGCTGCTCAGGGAAGGACCCAGCCCCGTACTGGGATCAGGCTGGGCGTGGCCTTCTCCGCAGGCCCAGGGCCCCGCTCCCCTCCCTCTCCTCTGTTTGCAGACGTGTTGTACAGTGGTGCTTCTGGGTTGCTGGAAACTAATGCAAGTCTCTTTGCCTCTCTGGGCCTCCGTCTCCCACACGGAGAAGTGGGAGTATTAAAAGGACGTGCCCCCGACCCACGTGCCCTGGAATGCTCTGCTGCCCCATATCACAAATGCAGCCACTGAGCCTCCCCAGGGGGCCTTTACCCCGGCCCTGGGGCCCCTCCTCACCCTCGGCCAGCGCCAGGGCAGCCTCCTCACCCCCCGCGTCCCGCAGGGCGAACATAGCTCGGTATCGGTCGAAGAGCGGCCGGGCCTCGTCCAGCAGCACCTCCCGCAGCCGCCCCACGTCGCGCTCCTCGGCGGGCGGAGCTGGGTCCACGGAGAGGTAGGGCCCCTGCGCCACTGGCTCCCCGCTGTGCTGCTGCAGCCACTCCAGCCGCCGAACGGCCAGCTGGCACGTCTCAGCCACCTACGGGAAGGGGGGCGCACAGGTAGCCGCTGGGACGGGGAGGACATGGCAGGCCCTTCCCTACCCCTCCCAGGGGCAGAGCCAGCAGACACAGGACTAACTAACCCTTCCAGACTGGGGACAAACCAGCAGAGACTGCCACGGTTAGGGAGCGACCAGGGGCAGGGGGCGAGAGGGCTCGCTCAGAGGTGACATCACAACTGAGAGACAGTGCCAGATGGAACTGGCCAGTGCAGAGGCCAAGGCCGCAGCTGCCGGACCCGTCAAGGAAGAGCGAGCAACACAGGTGACCTGAGGTGGCCAGGCCAGCCTACTTCAGGCCTGCGGGCCTCAGAGAGGACTTGGGATTTTGTTGAGGCGATGACAAGCCACAGAATAGGTCAATAGACTTAAGTTTTACATACACCACCCCCCACCCCCGCAGCTGCCAGAGGAGACTGAGGGTGGGGTATGGGAAGCAGGTAAGAACACACTTGTTCACAGCAGCACGATTCACAACAGCCAAAAAGCGGAAACGGCCCAAGTGTCCATCAACAGATGAATGGATAAACACACGTGGTCCCTCCACACACAGGAGCATCACTCAGCCGAGAAAAGGAGAGCAGCCCTGACACCCACTCCCACGTGGACGGACCCTGAGAGCACGACGCTCAGGGAGAGAAGCAGACACAGAAGGACACACAGTGTGTGAGTCCGTGGATGTGAGACGTTCAGAACAGGCCAGTCCACAGACACAGGGAGGGGGGTAGTGGTTTTTGGGGAAGGGGGTGGGGAGTGACTGCTGATGGGGATGGGGTTTCCTTTTGAGGCGATACATTCTGGACTTAGATAGTGGTGGTGGTTGTACAACTCTGTGGGTGTACTAAAAACAACCTAGTGTGCACGTTCAACGGGTGAATTTTATGGTATATGACATCTCAGTGAAGCCGTTATTTAAAGCAAAAGGAAGGGAGACGGGAAGGCAGCAGGGAGATCCTGGAAGAAGCTGGAGTGGAGTGACTTCCCGTGGGAGGTGAGGGAGAGGTGAGAGAGATCAGGGCGGCTGAGCAGGGCAGGTTTTATATGTGAATCAGGAGTTCGGTTTTGCCCGTGGGGCCACGGCCAGAGTCCACCCTGACTGTGGCTCTCTCTCAGCATCCCTGGGCCAGGTGGTCACCCTGGCAACCAGACGCAGGGCCTGAGTCTGGTTCTTGGACCCGAGACTGGGGAGGAGGAGGGAGGGCAGGGCTGCATTACCTCGATGACAGGGTCGGTGGAGTACTGCTTCAGAAGCTCCAGAACCTCCGGGTTCCCGATGGCCCCCAGGGCCTCCCCTGAGAAGAACCAGAGAGAGAGAGAGCACATCGCTTGCCCGGAAACACCCGGGATGCACCATCACCTCCTTCCTGCCCCCTGCTCCCAGCTCTGCCTGTATCCTCTAGCCACAGCAGTTGGAGCAGGAGCCAGAGTAATTAGAGTCCCTTCCCTAGAAATCACCAGAATTGGGCTGGGACTCCGCCCTGGCCTGCACCCCCGGAGCTCATGGCCTAGAGAGGAGACGTAGACAGGAGTGTCATTACAACTTGGGGACACGGGTGACAAGAAGCCAAGAACCCTCGGCTGAGTCAAGCCCATCATGGAGAGGCCTTAAAACCTGGAGGAGGTTTTAAGCTGCGATGTGGGCAAAGCGGGTCAGCAAACCAGGCACGGTCCTGCCTCCGGGCCTTTGCACGGGCTGGACCATCTACCTGGAGCAACTTTCCCCAGAAACTACGTAGATAACTCCCTTACTTCACTCCCGTCTCTGCCCACCGATTAAAAACGGCAACACCTCCTTAACAGAAGGCCCTCCACACCCCTATGTCTGCTTTATTTTCCTCCTTAGCACTTACTAAGTGTTTCCATCATTAGATGACTGGGTGTTCTAGAAAATCACGCACTCCAAATAGCAGCGCTTATGGGACAAGCAAGGTTTGGGGTCAAGCGTTCTTTGTAAGGAGAGCTCCAGGGCAAAACCAGGGGCTGGGATCTTGAGAGGTCCCTGGGGCAGCACAGCATCCCTGCAGAGTATCTCAGGGAATATTAAAAGTGCCCCCAGACAATCACCGGAAACACAGTCCCCCGCTGAAAATCTGCAAATGAGCCCCTGGATGAAGTCTCAGCAGCACAGACCTGCCAAGGATGTTACTCTTCTGTCTTGTTTGCTGTCTGAGTCCCCTGGGGCGGAAAGGGCCTGGCACACAGGAGGCGCCTGATAAATGTTTGTCCAGTGAATGGAGCGAGTGAATGACCTCAGGGCTTGGCCATCTGTGGCCGCCGCCTGTTTTTGTATGAGTGAAGGATGTTTTTGAGGTTCTTAACTCATGTTTTAAAAACTCAAAGAGCTAGCATTTTGACGTGTGAAAATGATGTGACATTAACGAACCTCTGGGCCCGTTGGGTTGGCCGGGCTCGCGGCCGCGCCTATCTGTTGGCTGTGGTTGCTGGCGGGCAGCTCTCTGGCCACGGTAGCGGAGTCAAGTCCGTGGGACAGAGAGGGTCTGAAGACAGTGATCACCCACTGTTTCCAGGGCCAGCCTGCTGAGCCCCAGGCAGAGTGAGCCCAGGCCTTCCCGCCGCTCACCTGCCTCATGGCGCACCATGGGCTCCTGGCGGGTGTCCCGCAGCACGTCCACCAGTACGGGGATGGCCCGCGAGTCCTGCATCTGGCCCAGGCAGTAGGCTAGCTCGTGCTTGAGCAGGGCCGAGTCGTCGCCGAAGGTCCGGCTGATCCAGGCAATGGCTTCAGGACCGCCGAGCCCACGCAGCGTGAAGAGCGCCCGGAAGCGGGCCTGCAGGGGCTGCTGGGGGTCCACCAGCGTCCGCCCGACCGTCTCCACCTCCTGCTCTGTCACCATGGTGCCGTTGCCACCTTTCTCCTGCTACCACCAGGCTCAGGCTAAACCAGGGGACTCCCAGGACCTGGGGTGGAAAACCGAGAGGCCAGGTTAGAGGCGCCCTTCTCCTCTCGCTGATGTGTTCATTTCAGAGTTGGGATCTGAGCGAGGCGGTTTCCCACCCGCTGACCAGCCTGGGCCGAGAGCCCAGCTGCGGCCCTGCCTGCTTGCCACGCGGCCTTCCCTCAGGCACTGTCCCTCTCCGGGCCTCCGGCCTATCCATCAGCAATGGCCTCTGCTGCTCTGCTCTTCACACAGCAGCCAGAGGGACTAGTCCCCACGATGGCCCCCGATGACTCCATCCCCTGGGTTTTGTGCCCCGTGCGGCCCCCTCCCACACCAAATAGAGCTGATCTCCAGGTGAATAACAGGATACAGAAGAAACCTGTGTGAATTCTGAGGGTAGGTCACAAGAGACACTCGGCTTTCTCCCTGCGGGCTGGAGGGGAAGCTGGGAGACATACTGTGAGGAGGCTCGAGCAGCCGTGGGTAGGGGCCCACCTGCTGAGGAACTGAGGCCTCCTGCCAGCAGCCACGTGAGAGTACGTTGGGAGCAGCCCCTCCAGCCCCAGTCCAGCCTTCAGATGATGCAGCCCAGCCAGTGTCTGCACTGCAGCCTCACGAGAGATTAGAACCACAGCCACCAGGCTAAACCAGGCCAGATCCCGGGCCTACTGAAACCATGGGAGGTAGTATTTACTATTGTTTAAACCTGCAAAGTATGGGGTAATTTGTTACAAAGCATAGGGAACTGATACAGGAACCCTTTCAGTAAAAGACTGGACCATGTGACTCCCTCACAAAATCCTCTTATGGTGTCTCCTTACTCCAAACTCCTTAACAGTCCCAAAGGCCCTGCACGACCTGCCCCCATCACCCCCCTCACCTTCCCTTCCTCCCTCGTTCCCCCTTGTTCATTCCACTCCACCAAACGGTCTCCTCTGTGTTCCTCCAGCACACCAGGTAGTTCTGCCCCAAGGCCTTTGAACAGGCTATTCTCACCCCTAGGAACACGCTTCCCTCCATACCCCCATGCTCACTCTCTCATTTCCTTGGGTCGTAAATGCCACCTCCTCAGGGAGGCCTTCCCTGATCAATGTTACTCCTCATCTCTTGTTCTTTGCTCTGCTTTCTCTTTCTTCAAAGCACCGACCACCACTAGATACCGCATCAGCTATTTCAGTTTAGCCGCTTATGGTGGGGCTTATCCTTCACTAGAATACGAGAACCCTGAAGGCAGGGACGGAGCGCTCCCAGCACACAGGCGAAGAACAATGACCATAACCGTAATAGCCACTGATGTTTACGGAGCATGTGCTTCCTGCCAGGCACCTCCTCTAGGCCCGTAACATTCAGTGAGCTCAGATGATCCTCGCCACAACCCTTTGAGACAAGCACTATGATTGCCGCCGTTTTACAGGAGAGGAGACACAAGCGCAAGAAGGTTAACAACTTGCTTAGGAACAGCGTGAAGTTACAAATCCAGGCAGCTGGGCTCCAGAGTGAAGCGAACAAACCCTGTGCGGGTCCCCTCTCCATCCTCCAACCAGTGGGGACCTGGTGGACGCTTCATAAACCTGACAAGCAGGCTGTGGCTCCCAGTGGCATCAGCAGGGCCAACTGGGTTTAATGAGGGAGGTGCAGCTGCCGAGCACAGGTGACCATCAAAGGATTGACACTTGAAAGAGGGCCATCAGAAACCCCAGAAGCCAGGGCTGAGCGAGCTGGCAAGGCATTAGGGACCATTGAGACCCGACTAGGTTCTACACAGATGAGCTGTGACCTATCTGGGGATCACAGCTAGTCAAGAACAGACAGGACCCAGGACTCCTGACTCCCGGTCTGTGCAGGGCTTCCTTCAAGACACCTGGGAAAGGCCCTTCACCACCTCATCCCCAGAGACCTTAAACTCCTGGGAAAAAAGAGAAATCTGTAGCCAAGAAGGCAGCTCCAGCTACAGGAGAGGGAGGGTGAGGGCTGAACTGGGCAAATATCTCCAAGCGCAGTTTCCTCCTTTGGAAGAAAACTATTAACAGGTCACAAGCCTTGGGCTTCCTCTGAGTCTCTGCTTGGATATTACCTTCTTGGGGAGGCCTTTTCTGACCACCCTGCTTTCCAAGCTACTTTACTGTTCTCCATAGCTCCTGACAGCAAGTGATGTCCTGTGTATTGCAGCAGGCACTTAATAAATGCTGTAGAATGAACTGACCATCCACTGCTTGCCAGGTACAGTGCGAAGAACTTTATACACAGTATAAACCAGTTTAATCTGTAAAATGGGTGTAAGGGGCACATGGACTTCAGAGTTGCTGTGAATGAAATTATGCTAATAGAATGCTTAGTACCACCACTGGTACTTAGTATGCACTTGATAAACCAGAGCTAGTATTAAATATTTCCACAGGGAGCCAACACCCACCTCTATGCTCAGGAGGACGAGGGAGGGTACGCCTAGCCACCTGGAAGCCCGCTACTCACACCTTTGACCCATTTTTCAGTAGAAAAGAGGAAAAAACTGTGGACGCGGGGTAGAGGGGATCAGCTCCCGACCAAGGCAGAATCTGAGGGTTCCCTCACCCCTGCGAAGGTGTGTCTTAGAGAAAGACACGAAGAATTAGTAAGGAATGGAGAAAAAGGCGTTCTGGATCCGCGAAATCCGACCCGACCCCCACTCTGCCTACTTCTCTAAACCAACAGTTAGCAACAAAAAGGTCTCCGATAACTAGACCCTCGCCTTCAGAGAAGGGTCGCCCCGACACGGCATACCTCAGGGCTGCTTGCAGGCTCCCCCAGCGACGACCGGCTCCCCAAAGCTCCTTGCAAGAGACCCTCAGTAACTGGATGTCCCTAGACCTGTTTATATGGATCTCCGAGTATTGGATCCCTCACAGGTTGATTCTGCCAGAACCTCGAAAAAGAGGTCGCCAAATATGGGACCCCCGGCCCACACACTGACTCTTAAGCAAGGGAATCCCCCGAGACAGGCTTTCCAGAGCTGGGGGTAAGAGCTCGCCAGGACCTGTCAAGAGGCGGCCCCTCGACCCCCCCCCCGACAACGAATCTCAGAGCCGGCACCCCCAACGAGGAACCCTCCCTCTGCCTGCCAAGCCCGGGCTCCACCCGATGCTCCCTGCCGCCGGAACACCGCAGCAAGCTCCCGGATCGCAGGCCCTACCGGACCAACCCAGCCCGCAGCTGCCACCACCGCTTCACCGACCGCGACGCTCGCACAGCCCTCTGGGGGCCGCCATCTTGCCGCCCACGTGACCGGGACGGACGGCACCAACGCAGCCTCGGGGGGGAAACCCGGTCAAAGGCCCCGCAGCGTGGGAAGGCCCGGAAGCACGAGTTAGCACCGACGCCATAGCTCGCACTCACACGTCAGGCGGGGTTAAGGGCACTCCTCAGGGAACGGGAGGGGCAATTCCATCTTTTCCCCGCAAGAGATTTTTCTCCGGCCTCCCCACCCAGTACGACGAGTGGAAATGGTTTGTGCCGATTCAGCCCGGCGGTGGGGCCGGCTAGCGACAGAGCATGCGCAGCGTCCCTGGGGCGTGGTCAAGTCTCAGGGGCGTGGTCAATGGACTCCGAGGGCTAGAAACGAGGTTGCGAGGGATTCAAAAAAGGACTTGACCCAATCGTGCATTCATTCACTTAACGAATAGTGTGTGGGCGCTGAGGACAAGACGGACTGCAGCCCTTACGATCATAAACATCACAGTCTGGTGTCTGAAGGCGACAAACAATAATGAGATAAGTGAAAACACCTACTAAGTGGTGACAGGCTCAGGAGGAAAAAGTAGTTGAGCCGGTGCTTGTACGGGGTGTGCATCCTTAGGAAGGACTGGGCTTTACCCTGACTGAACCCGTGTTCACAGCAGCACTGTTCACAGTGCCCTCAGACCCTGATCACCGCTATTGTATTTTCTGTCTCTACGAATCTGGCTACTCAAGGAACCTTAGAAAGTGGAATCAAACAATGTTTGTCCTTTTGTGTCTGTCTTATTTCCCTGAGCATAGTATTCTCAGCGTTCATCCGTGTTGTAGCGTGTGTCAGAATTCCCTTCCTTTTAAATTTCCTTCCTATGGTATGAATGGATCACATATCTATTCATCCGTCAATGGACATTTCCATTGTTTCCACCTTTTGGCTCTTGTACATAATGCCGGTATGAAAAAAAATTTTTTTAAAGCCTCTATGAACATTGGTGTACAAGTACGTATTTTATTCCTTATTTTCGAATCTTTTGGGCATATACCCAGGCGTGGAATCTCCGGATCATTTGGTAGTTTTATGTTTAACTTTTTGAGGAAGCACTGAACTGTTGTCTACAGCAGCTGTATCATTTTACGTTCCCACCAGCAACATGGAAGGACTCCACTTCCTCCACATTATCACCAACACTTGTCATTTTCTGTTTTGATAGTAGCCATCCTAACGGATGGGATGTGTGCAGCTTATTTGGAGATGCATTTAAAAAGGATATATATTGATGGATGGATAAATACATAACAGAGCAAATGTAACAGAGTGTTAATTGGAGAAAGTGGATGGTGGGCATATAACAGTTCACTGTAAAATTATCTCAACTTTACTATACTTTTGAAATTTTTCATAATAAATCATTGGAAAAATAAGTGGTGGGAAAAGGAGGGCTACTTCTATCCTCAGTGTTTAAACATTTCAAGTTAAATATGTGAAAAGTGTCTTAACTTTTAAATGCAGAACCTCTGAGTCTGCAAATCCGTTTTGAGGAATTTCGCTGACGCTAGTGTAAAAACAAAAAAACCGGAAGGCCACTCATGGCAACATTATTTGAAACGGAAAAAATTGGGGGAAAAAACTCCGCTCCCCACCGCTCTCTCACAGCGCCCCCCCACAATCTGTCCTCCCTGAAGCCGCCACCAGAGGGCGCCGATGAACACCTGGGTCAGGCGTGCACTCCCTCTGCCCACAGCCCTCCAGGGTCCCACCTATCTAGGGTAAAAGCCCAAGTCCTCGCGCCGCCCGCAAGTCCCTGCACGACCTGTCCCCGTCCGCTCCCTGTCCTCCTCTCCTCCTTCCCTCCCCCTCGCTCACTCTGCTCCAGCCACACAGGCCTCCTGGCTGTTCCTCCAGGCACAGTACTGCCCCAGGGCCTCTGCACAGCTGTGCCCTCTACTTGCAGTATTATTTCCTCCAAATACCTTTTGTTCACTCCCTCCCTCAAGCGCAAGTGTTTGCTCCTTTCCTGGAATGTTACGTCGTCCACGAGCCCTTCCCTGAACACTTCAATTCCCTCACCCACAGCATTCATTTATCCAGTTCCCTGATTTCTTTTTCTCATAGCATCTATATTTTACTGTACATTTTATTTCATTATTTTGTTTACTGTCTAGCTTCCCCACTAGAATATAAGCACCATAAGAGCAGGGACTTTTGTCGGCTTTGTTCTCCACCATATGATACAGTGCTGTGCCAGTTAACCAGCAATCTGGAAAAAAACAAAATTTAAAGCCCTGATTTGCAGTGTTTGCCAATTCCCGTGGTGTAAATATTCCCACCACGGTCCACTCACAAAACTCCTGGTGGTGCCTCCTGTGAGTCAACATTGACATATCGGCTCCAGCACCTAACTAAGTGGTTCCCCAGCACCTGTTACATGCCTGGAACTTAACAGGTGATGAATAAATATGTGAGGCATGAGTAATGGAGCTGCCCCTCAATAGGGGTCTGGGTAAATAATGGTGCATCCATGTGTTAACAAGCAGATTTTCAAAAGGATGGGAAGTTAGTTGGAGAAGGGGATAGCTCAGTGGGAGAGCATGTGCTTAGCATGCACGAGGTCCTGGGTTCAATCCCCAGCACCTCCATTTAAGTAAATAAACCCAATTACACTCCTAAAAGAACAGCAACAAAAGGATGGGAAGATCTACCTGTGTTGTATGAAAATCAGTCCAAGAGGTACTTTCAAAAAGTGAAGAAAGCTGGGAATTTGAGATTTGCAAATATTAACTACTATATATAAAATAGATAAAAAACACAAATTTATTCTGTATAGCACATGGAGCTATATTCAAAATCTTCTAGTAACCTGTAATGAAAAAGAACGTGACAACGAAAATATGTATGCATATGTATGACTGAAACCTTATGCTGTGCACCAGAAATTGGCACATTGTAACCGACTGCACTTCAACTAAAAAAAGCAAAGAAAGCAAGCACAGAATCAATCATGTGTTCCCATTTGTATAAATGGATTTAGACATGTAAATTATAGATGGGTAAAACTGTCGAAAAATACCCAACCATTTACCCACAGTGCTTATGTTAAATCTCCTACCTCCCTGTGCTGCTTAAGTTGTATTATTGTAGTATTTTATTCTGAAGTGTGTTAGGGAATGTGGTGGTGGCCCCTCCAGAGGGGCTGGCAGCCTGTACAAGGCGGTCACTTTGATCAGGGGACAGAATTTGCCTGGGCACTCAGAGTTCAACTTTTGGCCGTCTCTTGCCTCCTAGGCCAGGCAGGAAGCATAAGGCAGTGCGCTGGGAACCTGGGGTGCACAGGCTCCTTCCTTGGGGCGCCTGCCACCCCTCTCCAGCCAGTCATAACTGCGTGTGGCCAGATGTCCCTGTTTTTGTTTGTTTGTTTCTTTGGAGGAGGGTAGGTAATTAGGTTTATTTAATTTTTACTTATTTATTTTAACGGAGGTGCTGGGGATTGAACCCAGGACCTTGTGCATGCTAAGCGGGCACTGAACCACTCAGCCATACCCTTCCCCCCTCAGATGTCCCTGTTTTTCAGGGAAGCCAAGCAGCAATTGATTTTACATGTAATCTCTCCTTTAAAACACGAGGGCAGTTAGTTAAAAACATCAACATACAGCAAAGAAGTCACTTTGATAGGCCAACTGCTGGTCTAAACATTCAGTCATTCATTTCACAAATATTTATGATCTGCTGTGTGGCAGGCACTGCCCTGGGACAGAGGGCACAGATATCAGTCTCTGGGCTCACAGAGTGGACATCCCATTTACTGTCGCTTTTTTATTGTCCTCCTGTGTGTTCAAAAGCTGAGCCCAGATAACGGGCGTTACAGCAGACCTGGCTGGCTCGTAGGGACACCATCGGGACCGGTTTTGTGGCGCAGGTTAATGTCCACGCAGGGCTTTCCCGTGGGCTGGGTGCTGTGCTGACTCTGGAAGGCTTCGGGGCAGTGTGCCAGGTGTGATCAGCTGCAGGGATGCTCTGGGGCTGCATGGAGGCAGGCCCAGGGGTGCAGGAAGCAGATATCAGAAGCCACGCCCCCAAAGCTGGGCCTGTGGATGTCCGAGAACTTGGAATCTTGAACCTGCAGGCTTGCAGGGGAACTGATAGCTGGAGAACAGTCTGTGCTGAGCCCAGATGCCACTCACCTTCAGTCCCGAGGCTCCTGTCCTCTGGAGCAAGGCTGTAGAGGCCAGAAGTCCAAACTCAAGGTACGGGCAGGGCCGTGCTCCCTCTATACAAGGCTAGTGTGGCCAGCAATCCTTGGTGTCTTTGGCTTCTAGACACATCCTTCCAGTCTCCACCCTGTCTTCCCGTGACAGTCTCCCTGTGTCTGTGTCCGAATTCCCTGCTTCTCATAAGGACATCAGTCCCTGCTGGCTTGGGGGCCCACCCCACTCCACTCTGGGTGACCTTCCCTTAACCCGATGACCTCTGCAAAGACCCTATCTCCCAAAACAGCCCTAGTCACAGGTACTGGGGTTAGGACTTGAACGCGTCTTTTTTGTGCGGGTCACAGTAGAACCCACCACACTTTGTTCTCTTTTTTTGTTAATCTCAGCTTGGGTGTCCAGCCTGGCCCCTGCTCCCGCTCAGGCCGAGCGAGAGGCTTCGCCTGGGCCCCCACACCCAGTGAAGAGCTCAGGAACGATTTGTGGAAGGTTTGCCGTCTCTGTCACCCCTCTGGACCTCTCGTTTGTCAAAACGTGAACCTCTGCTTAAAAAAAAAAAAAGCAAAATAAATAGGGAATCAGTGATGCTCTTCACAGGCGGAACCAGAGAGAGAAACAAGTTCCTCGGCAGTGTGCGGGGAGTGAGCCGGACATCGAAGGGGGAACCAAGAACAAAATCAGTAAATAAGATCAGAAATATTTAACTTTTTAAATTTTGTTTATTTGGGAGGAGGTAATTAGGTTTTTATTTGGTTATTTATCTTTAATGGAGGTGGCGGGGACTGAACCCAGGACCTCGTGCGTGCTAGGCGCACGCCTTCCCACTGAGCTACACCCTCCTCCAAGATCAGTCACATTTTAAT